ATTATTTTTCAAAAAAACATTTTTCATTTTCTTCTTTCTTTTCCAGTTATTTTTATATCTCCTTTATTCTTCATGTTAGATTTAGAAATGTAAATTCTCACTTGTCTCATCTTTGTATCCAGTGACAAGAAATTAAAATATTATTCTCATCATTAAGTAAACATTTGTTGAAATTTCATGACACCTCAGTTTTTGTATTGAGTAAGAGAGATATTTTGCACAGAGATTCTAGGTCTTGTGCAGAATTGTGTGTTTTGTGCAGTTGCCCAAACATCTAGAAGTAGCTTAAGAATATGAAGAATTAAAAGGACTGTTTGCATCTTCCTTAGCAATCACCTTGTCCTTCTCTGCTTTGTGTTTGTTTGTGTGTGTGTGTGTGCACTAGACCTGCCTTGCTTTTCAAAGGGAAAGGAAGCTAAAAGCATTTTGTGCAAAGTAGAGAGGACTCATGAGGATGAAAACAATCTTTTGTAAAGCTCTTATCTGTCACAAGGTTTCAGAATATCTTTTCTTTGTACTAGTTCTCATGGTGTAAAGGAAATGTGAAAATATCCTTTCCATTTGTATTTAAATTACAAACATACCACATGAGTAAACTCTGCTGCTGCTCAGTGGCTCTGATTTATATTTTTTTAAAGCAAATTTCACATCTCTTCAGAGATGTGTCTTTCTTGTGTGCATAAATACACTAAAAGTCCTTTGTTAGGCTTGCTGGTTTTTCTCTTCTTTGTCCTGTCTGTTTCTTTCCCCAGAAGAGCAGCCAGGATAATAATTTGCAATGAAAAGGAAGAACCGGGTGTTTAATCTGCAAAAGTCAGCTGATTTCTGGATTATTGTGGTTCCTGAGGCCCAAAACCACATCCTTTGGAAGGGCAGATCTAGAAATCTTACTGGGTACAATGGAGTGACCACGGGAAAAGTCTTGAGATAGTCATCTTTGGGAAGGAGTAAGGAAGACCCTAATAGGAGGAAAGAGTTATAAGCCTATGCAGAGGGTTGGTTTTTTTAATCGCTCAAATTTAGTTCCCTAGGTAGGCTAGCTTTGTTTTATATGAACTATCCTAATTCCTGCATAAATATGGGAAAACTTTTGAATTATCACTCTCCTTTTTAAAGACTTTTCTTTATAGTTCTGTTGCCATTTTAGCTAAGGATTGCAGCACTGTGAAGTTGTAAGGTTTCTAGGATTTTGGTAAAAACAGCGGTATACTGTGTATCGATCCTGTCTCCCTAAAGAGACAAAGATCACAGTCAGGGAGTCCCTCTGGGTGCAAAACTACCACCTTTATTTGCTGAGATAGGTCCTCTAGGCCTCAGAAGTGCATAGTAAGCCCCATAGACAAGTCTGTACCTTAAAAGTTACCTTTGATTTGCTTCCAAGGAAATAAGACATAGGCTTTGTGTTTCCTTAGAATGCACAACAGCCTTACCAAGTAGGCCAGTTGTCGTTGTTGTTTAGTCGTGTCCGACTCTTCGTAACCCCATAAACCAGAGCACACCAGGCCCTCCTATCCTCTACTGCCTCCCGTAGTTGTGTCAATTTCATGTTGGTTGCTTCTCAGACACTGTCCAGCCATCTCATCCTCGGTCGTCCCCTTCTCCTCTTGCCGTCACACTTTCCTAACATCAAGGTCTTTTCCAAGGAGTCTTCTCTTCTCATGAGATGGCCAAAGTACTGGAGCCTCAGCTTCAGGATCTGTCCTTCCAGTGAGCACTCAGGCTTGATTTCCTTTCGAATTGACAGATTTGTTCTCCTTGCAGTCCAGGGGACTCTCAAGAGCCTCCTCCAGCACCACAATTCAAAGGCATCAGTTCTTCGGCGGTCAGCTTTCTTCATGGTCCAGCTCTCACTTCCATACGTCACAACAGGAAAAACCATAGCTTTGACTATTCGGACTTTTGTTGGCAAGGTGATGTCTCTGCT